GAATTCAGATATGAAACTTTAATAAGTTGTACTTATGCATAATCTACTTGCAATCTTGAGTTTTAAATAATATATATTAATAAATAGTACTTTATACATAAAAAATAGTTTTTAAGAATTTTGTCAAATGTTTTATAATATAGTATAAATATTAGTAAGTGTGGTATGTATCGTTATAATATTATTAATATTAATATAATAATATAGGAAAATGACACATCATCATCATTAATGCCGCATCTACCCGTTTTTCACTCGTTATACAACATCTATAAACAAATTATATGGTAGTTTCTTTATATTTTTTAATCAAACAAGTATAAAAAATGGCTATTCTACTTCATATATAAACTAGTGTTTGACATTGTGCGTTGCACGATGACTATAATTTTTTTAAATTATTTAAGTTAGCTAAATGAGTCGATGATCACGTTTATATACATGAAATTAACAATAATCAATAATTAATTTGATATATGAATCCACCTTATTATTATTGATTATTATATATATATATATATATATATATATATATTAATAAGTCTTATATATCAATCTTTTATTATATCAAACTTTGTAATTGATTCAAAATCATAAAAAAATATGAAAGTATTGACTTATAATGATGAGGTGTTTTATGAGAATTGTTTCGTACATATCAATTTATCTCCTACATATATTGTCATTGAATATTTATATTCATCAAGCAAACATTGTGTTCTTACCAACTTTGATATAATTATTGAATATTTTTGTAATTTGCTCATATTAGTCATAATATACTCATTTGCATCATTGATCAAAAACCTTCTTAAAACCCTTATTTTCCTACATGCAATTGCACAAAGTGGAACAATAGCATTATGATCATTCCAGATACATAGGTCTGATTGATTTGTAATTTTTTTATTTGACTTGTTCGAGTTTTTTAGATTTGTTTTAGACAGTTCATAGTTTGGTTTCTTTATAAAAAAATCCTAAAAGAAAAGGTCTTAGTAAAATTATGTAAAATAAAATATATGTATTATATTGATTCTAGTGCTAATTATATATAAAGTTTGATTATATATATATATATATAGAGAGATATATATATAAACTATAAGTTGTCTCTATCTTTTATACGTATTATTGTATTGATTGTAATAAGTTTTTAGTTATATATTGATTCTAATTTTATATATTGATTCTAATTTTAATTCTATATATTGATTGTCATAATTTTCTATTTTACGTATTGATTATAATCATATATGATATATATATATATATATATAATGTTAATTTTAATAAATATTTTATCTATATGTTATATTTATTTATTTTAATTAGTTTCATAAGTGATATTAAATGTAATAAGTATTTCGTTTATTAATGAGAGAGTTAATAATAAGTATCTAATTATGTACATTGATTATAATCTTATTTATATATTAATTTCAATTTCATTTACCCGTCCCTACACACACACATATCTATATAAGATAAAGATTATATCCATGGATAGACAAAGTTAACCATAATTCAATATTTTGGAATTCTCAATCCATATTGTGTCATTTCATTTTTCTTGGTTCTTACTTTCATATATACAAAGATATAAGATAAACAAAACAAATGAAATAAGCGTATTGTATTAATTGTATAACAAAATAAAATATCAAATCAACACAAAGAAAAGTATAACTAAAATGAACTATTTAATCCAAAATGAATTAAAGTAATCATAAATAAAAAAACCATGTAAATAAAAAGTTGTCATCATTTTCTTTATATAATCACCCCCAATGTTTCAACATATCATCTTTTTGTCAAAGTGAGAGATGGATAAAGTTAACTACAATTCAATATTTTGTAATCCTCAATCCACATTGTGTCATATCATGTCTTTTGGTTCTTACTTATAGATTATAGATTATATATTTATAGATATAAAGGTTTAAAGGTTTATTAATTAGATCATTATATGTAACTTATATATAAAGTAAATGAAAGGTTTATTCATTTAATGATATGTTTTAATTTAAAATAATTCAAAATTTGAAAAAAATAGCAACCAATTATTCTAGCTCTCTCAAGATGCTACATCATCTTTTGATGATTCTCCTTTATATATAGATATAGATGTTAGCATCTTACATCAACAAATACCATTTCCAACATCTTTTTTTCTTCATTATTAACGTTAAAACTGAATTCAACTGATACCATCTTTTTATCATAATATCTGTAAGACCGCCTTCAAACAGTTAAATTTATAAAATCTCGTCACTTCACAGTAGGCAGCGGTTCTTGAACCAGACAACCGTGAGTCCACCTTCTTAGCCGCAGCTCAAGCTTGAGAAACCAAATAGTTAACGAGATGCAAAATTTTACAAATAGAATAAACTAGTTCAACCGGTCTTTTTATTTATATGCATATATATAAATATGCACATCAACTACAAGAAGTGTAGGATATGTTACAATTATTTTGAAGCACCTAAATTAACACACACTTAAAAACAAATCAGGATTGCAAGCATCTAATACAAATTGGTGAATATATATTTCATTCACCCACAAAAATCCAACACCTTCCAAGTGTTGTTAGTAAACGGAAGATTTTGGAGGAAAAAAAAGGCACACTTGCACAATCATTCATGCATACCGGTTGATACCAGATTACTTAACTGTCATCAGTAACTCCATAGATTCCCTCCACCGGAGTAATCATCTCCATCGTCCGGCGGATTAGAGTTGTCTCTCGGTGGGGTTAGGAGCATTCCTTCCGCCATGTCCGACAACATATTTGGCATTCCAAACACTGCTTCATCGTCCATATATCCTCCGGGATGGTTTCCTCCAACACCGGTAGAGCTTCCACTTCCACCGCCAGTTTCATTAGTCGGAGCTCGAGCGGCTGCCGCCCTTGCTGCTGCGGCACGGATGTCGTCAGCCGTCGGACACTCAGGAAGCGTACTAGAGAGAATAGAGTCAGGAAAGTTTAGTACCGCATACGTGCCTTTGAGTGCCAATGCCGCCACGTCGTAAGCGGCGGCCGCCATTTCCGGTGTCGGATACGTGCCTAGCCATATACGAGTTGGCTTGTTTGGTTCACGAATTTCAGAAACCCATTTTCCGGCTCGGCAGCGGATGCCATGGTAAGCAGGATGGCGACTGGAGGAGCTTCCCGCGGCGGTGCGGTTTGAGTTGTCTTCATCTTGGGATTGCCGAAATGCAGGGGAGTTGCGGCGGCGACGGTTAGCCATGGAATCCTATGATGTTAAGGATGCGTTCGTGATTGGTAGTTATAGACGACGAATAGATTCTGTTGTGAGAGTAGGGTCTCGTGGTCGTGGGTTTTCTAACTGGAAACATTATGGAGCGTGGCGATTTCGCGGATGCTATTTTTATACGAAAGACAAAACTTTTAGTTGTCTTATAAATGTCTCAATCTGAAAGTAAATGTGTGAAATAAGTCAATTTATCCATTTGAGCCTTGTACTATGAAAAAAGTACATCCAACACCCTTTTCATTATGAAAATAAAATATACACCTAAATCTGCTATCACGTCAATCCCCATCTCTGTCCTTACTCTCATTCCCATCTCCGTTGGGGAATATCATCATATCTCTACAGGAACGGACTCAATGCATAGCATACGGTGGGTCGTGTCATCGTATTGTTCATCTATCGTAATGTAAAAAGTGTCACCGTATAAATTTGTATGTGTCACTATATATGTACTTTAAAACTACAATGGGAACAATTTTTTTTTGTAGAGTTGGTTTGTAAGACTTTTTTTCCACCTGAGTTCAAATCATGTTAGTGACATTTCTAGGTCAAAATGGTGTCACTTTTTGAAAAAAAATTATAGGTTCGTCCCTACATCTCCATCCCTGTTCCCAACAGGGAATCATAATATTTTTTTTTTCTTGTTTAACTATGATACTTTAAATCAAATGTGTTAAACATTACACGCGATTTATAATGGCCAATGTTTATAATAATTTATGCTTAAATCACACATATTTTTGAAATTTTACTTTATTGAGTATCAAATATTATATTTTTACAAAATCACAACATCATATGTATACTGTTGGATCAAACACTTTCTGCTTTTCATGCTTTTATCTAAAAAAGTAAAACAATTTTAAAAAATGCATATAAAAAGAAACGTCATAATATTTTTTCTAAATTTAATTGATACTAAATTAATTATTTATAAACAATATATTTAATAATACATATGCAATAATATATATATAGGGGTTGATTCAAATATTAACCAAGATTTTTGTATTAACTTTGTTAACCAAACTTAACCAATCATATTCTATCTTTTCTTTAAGTTCACATATAACTCATATATTAATGATAAGGGTAATTAAGTAATTTGTCATTTATGTAACTCCCAAATCATTAATTGGGAGTTATAAATCTAAAAAACTCAATAATTAATGATTATGTAATATTGATATTTTTTTATACGTGTTCATGTTTTGTAATTTCGATTTATTCTATCCATAATGATATTGATTTTGTAATTGTCAAAGAATTTTCGATTGTAAAGATTTCAATATAGTCCGAGTAATATGGATAAACCTATAGGAAAACAGATCGACAACAATGAGAATGAAAATGTTAAAATCGTCTATGACTACAATCGGAATTCGAATTTATATGTAATTGTTACAGAATTGTTCACAAGTGTTCATATTTTGTTCATATGTACACTAGCTGCATATCTCAACATTGGTTTGCTCCTGAATGTGTTCATAATGAAGGAACTATTGTTCACAAACTGTTCATATTGTGTTCGTACCTGTTTTTTTATATATTTACTTTCGTGTAGCAATTATTCTTATTATATTCATATTATGTTCATAAATGCTATACAGTCCAAGTTCATATATATGTCAATTTTTGTTCGTATTTGACACAATGATTTATATATATATATATATATATATATATGTATATATGTGTGTGTGTGTGTGTTCATATGGTTCTTACATTAACAAAAATAAATTAATAAAAATAATGAGATTTTTTGATTTTGTTTGATTTTGTAACTCCTAATTAATGATATGGGAGTTGCATAATTTTTTTTTACCTAAATACGCTTTTCCCCTTTGTTCACATATGTTCTTTGAAATTGTAAATTTAAAAAATTAATTTTTATCATGATTAATCACAACCCTTTATTGTAATAATCAATGGCCAAGATTGGTTAACAAAGTTAACACAAAAATCTTGGTTAGTATTTGCAGCGAGATACATCTCGATATTATAATACGGTTTTATGTAGTTTTGAGAAAACGATAATGTTTTTATTTTTGAATAAAATATAAATATTAAGATATTATAAAAAATAAAAAATATTGATATTAATACCAAACTAACTACTTAAAATTTCTCGTTTTTTGGTGTATTTCTTTAATTCAATTTTTTTTAGTTTAATAATATAATTTTTTATAAAGATAATAATCAAGTATTTTATTAGAACTTAATAAATATCCTAATTATATATTAGTTTTTTATATTTAAAATGAAAGGTTTATCCTTTATTTGATTATGTTTATCTGAAGTTAGTTACACAAATTCAAACATGAAGCTTTAATAAGTTGTACTTATGCACAATTTATTTGTAATCTTGAATTTTAAGTAATATGCATCAATAAACAGTACTTCATACATAAAAAATGGTTTTTACGAGTTTTTGTCAAATGCTTTATAATATAGTATAGATATATACAAGGATGGATCACGGATCGCATTACCTCGCCCAGTCCCTGGTTTTTAAACTTCGGGATTCGTGGTCCATTCCCCGTCAGGCTGGTACAACGAGCCTTTGATAAAACGGGTCTCGTTCTCATGCCTACAATATGTACAATATTTAACACAATTTGCGTTGTTTAAATGATTTAGCGGTCCGGTTTAAACCTGATGAAAAGCTTAAGTGTAATTGCATTATGAGAGACGTAATTGAGAATAGAGTTGGATATATGTTTTAAAGAAACAAGTTTGTAAAATGAAGGGGAAGGTGTGATATTTGAGTATAATAGAAGGAGGTGTAGATGAAATACAGGTGGTTGGGTTATAACATGATGATGTTGGACGGAAAAGGACACGCGTCAACAAAATCATCGATGCCAAAAAGAGTCACCCGTTTGTCACTCGTTATACACATAAATCATTTATTTCACATGTCTTTTTCAAGTTTGGATATCAATTATGACGAATAATCCAACATTAAATGACATGTTTTTTCAATTCCACATCCACACGAAATCTATCACCTTTTTTTTATTAACCTGGATATCCAACTTGTTATGTGAGTTGACTAATCTCAAAACGATCATCTACTTTACAAATAATCCAGAGTCACCGTATTTAAACCTCCATGACCATCAATGACAAAATCATTACTTTTAGATTACAACTTAAAATTTGACTTTGAAATACAATCATACCTTTCACTCTATTTTTTGTTCAATCTACAATCTACAATAATTAAGTAATCGATGTAGATTTCGAGATTTTGATATATATATATATATTGTAATGACAATCAATATGATGTTTGTTCACGATTATATTGTCTTTGCTAATAATTGTAGCGATTGAAATGTCGTCGCATTACTTCTTTGTCGTTAAAGGATTTCTAGAATTTTTAACGTATCGTGAAGACGAGTTGGATAAAGCCAATTGTATAGGACTTAACTTTCCAGCCGTCCGATAAAGCCAATTTTCATGTAGTGAAAAGTCTTGACGACCCTATGGCATTAGTCATATGTTACCGAAATTGAACCCCGACCTTTAGTGATAGCTTGTCGGTATATTAGATGTTGATCCACGAAAACTCTCGTACTTGACATGTCTTCTACTTATTTGTTTGTTCGTATTTTTCTTCGAGTAGTGCATATATTTTGGATAAAAGAAGTTCAACAATCTTATTCCATGTTTCAGTGTGTATATATATATATATATATATATATATATATATATATATATATATATATATATATATATACATACGTGATGGTGGATTTTTCTTGACGTTTTCAACTTTGTCGTTCCTGCCAACAACCATTGAATATTTGTTGACTTCTACTGTGATGACATGTCGTTGTAGTTCGTTTGAATTCAATTATGGCTTATAGTGACGATGTCGTTTTCTAGTACTCCCATTTTCTCTTGATTGAAACTTAAAAGTAAAGAGAAAAACTAAAACGAAGTAGGCAAGATATGAAAGTCAACCGGTGTTCTTATTGTACATAATGAAATATTACAAGTAACCACATTGCGTAAAATTACGTTAAAAACGAACTGTGCAACCCTTCCATAACATAACTGGGTGAGTTACGTACATTCACCCAGAAAACCCCAACTTCTTCTGTAAACCCAAAGGTTTAATTGGAGATTAAAAGAAAGGCACACTACAAACAACGTAAGATAAAGTCGCACGAACATCGATTGATTCGTAGTCCATGCATACACCCGGTTGATATATGTATATATAGAGCTTGCCTTTAATTAGTAGTTCCATAGATTCCCTCCACCTGAATAATAATTGTAATATGCATTGTCATCGTCCGGCTGATTGTAGTCGATCCTTGGTGGGCTTAGGAGCATTCCCTCCGCCATGTCCGACAACAAATTCGGCATACCAAACAGAGCTTCATCATCTACAAACTCTTGAGGAGGTGCTGTTTGATCATTCACCGTCATGTTACCGCCGAAGTTAGTATCGTACGCCGGTGCTCGAGCGGCGGCGGCTGTTGCTGCCGCTGCACGGATGTCATCAGCTGTGGGACATTCTGGAAGGGTGTTGGAGAGAATGGAGTCTGGAAAGTTTAGTACAGCATACGAACCTTTGAGTGCCAATGAGGCAACGTCGTAAGCAGCCGCCGCCATCTCCGGTGTGGGATATGTTCCAAGCCATATACGAGTGGACTTGTTTGGTTCACGAATTTCAGAAACCCATTTTCCAGCTCGGCATCGGATTCCATGGTAAACAGGGTGGCGACTGGAGGAGGAGCCGGCTGCGGATTGATCATTTTGGGGGAGCGAGTTGCGGTGACGACGGCTAGCCATGCAATCTTAATTACGTATATATATGTTATGGGTTGGTAATGGTTTGTGGATATTGTTTGGATGATTCGTGGGTAGTTATAGACGAAATGGGTTGTGTTGGTGGTCCATCATTATGTCAGTCTCCATGGATCCTAAACTGTAAGCATTTACTAAGCGCGGCTACTTCGCGGAAGCCAGGTGTTGTCCTTTTTTGGGAAATTAAGAATTTCCCAAAAAGGCAAGTGCACGCCAAACTAACTACAATTAGCCCTTCCATTCTTGAAAATTTGCCAAACACACACACTCATCAACTTTGATGTCGTTTTAAAGATTTTTGATGAAAAGTTCGATTCCGGTTCATGCATGTTTCTCGTTTTAGAAATGGTTTTAATCCAAAACTTGCATTTTATTCGGACATATCGATATTGCTTCGTTAGCTTGAGGTAATAAATTCATGACAAATAAATTAGAAGGGGCAAAGTTAATAGGTTTTCATAAGATGGGGGTTTACATGGAAAATAAGTGTAGTTATTAGTAGTGTGGAGCAAGCATAATAATTATAGAAGGCCATGGTAGGTCACTCACTGATGCTAAAAGTCAAGTATGCCATGTCTTCTAATTGCAAGATGAACTCAATTTTTAAAATAGCAAATTACATAGACTTTAACCTTAATTTCTATTTTAGATAATGTATTTTTAAAACTTTTATTTTGATGTCTAAAATGTAAAACTTTAAACATTTAAGTATTTAGATAACCGATTGAAGTATTAACCGATTAATATACTGATATGACGAGTAATGTGGTATCCGGAATATATAGATATACACGTGTTTGTGTGTGTATAGATTATAGAAGGTCTATTGTTAACATCTTCTATGGACCCATAGATTTAATTGCCTTGATGTTTGTGGGCTTGACTTTGGAAAAGGACAGATGCAATATACCCGTTTGTCACTCGGTATTTTTCATCTTTACTATTTTTCAACTTTTTAAGTACCTTAACTCTTTATTTAAAATAGCTTCCACCCTTTTTTAAACATTTGTTTGGTCTTGTTTATTTCCCACTAACAATTACAATAATATTAATTACCCAAATTATAATTCACAAGTTTTTTTAATTTTTTTTCCCTTAAATGGCAAATAATATTAATAGTGCACACCACACATTGGTTTTGTGGTGGGATAACAATATATACAGTGTACACCAGATCTATAACTGTAATCTTCTTCCACGATAGCTGTAACTATAATAGTGGTTATGTGGTGGGATTACAATGTACATGGTGTGCACTAGTTCTGTAAATATAATCCTCCTCAACTGTAGTTGCTTCATCATCTTCCCACCTCTCGTCACGACCGTTGTTTCACAAACACGTCAAACAGGTTTACATTCTGAAACGAGTACATGTAAAACAAATACATTATGAAACATATATATATGTTAATTAATATTTCAAATTCTACTCTTAGATGGAAAAAAGACAATATGCAATGACACATGATACACAAGTTCTTAAGATTATCATAATTTCATACGTTATCAAAAGAAGATCCCCTGTATGTATAAAATGGTGGTGTTTCCATTTTTATTGGGAACTAAGAATAGTTTTTGTTGGGTTGTATCAAACGATCGACATCTTCATCATTTTTTTGTTGAGCTATGTAACGGAGTATAGGTATTTGCCAATTTTGTTTCTCTTTTATCTGATTATATCTCATTGGTTATCATCAATTCCAAGCCATCTAAATTAGTCAGATTAGACTAGACGTGGCCAAAAACGGGTTTCGGGACGGGCTAGGCCAGGCCCAAATCGGTCATGAGCTGAAACAATAACAATCCAGACCGGTCCCGTCGAAACTATTAAGACCCGGTTAAGGGTACTTGTAACCGTCGAAGTTCTTGGACAATTTTTTGGAACAAATAAGTCCTTTGACATTCAAAAACCTGTTAAATAAATCTTTGGACTTTTTATAACTTGTTACATACATTCTTATGATCTATAAAACTGATTAATGTGATAAAATAAGGGAAAAAACCTGGAAAAAAAACCCAATGAACTTTCATATTTCCAGCGATTAAGTCTTTATATTTTTTATTTTTTTGAACACAAAAAGTATTTACATATATAAAATAAAACAGATATACCAAAAAAGTACCCATATTAAAAAAAAGTTATTTTGATTAAAAATAAAAAATATTTTGTTAGTGATTTTCTAAATTAAAAAAATAAAAAAAGAATTTAAAAAGTATTATTGATTATATTTTTTAATTAAAAATAAAATATATTCCGTATATGATGTCTTAAATTAAAAAAATTAAAAAAAATTATATTTTATTTTTAATTAAAATAAATTCTATCAATAATATTTTTTAAATGTAAGTATTTTTTCGTAAATGTAAGTAATTTTTTGGTATATTTGTTTATTTTTATAGATCTAAGTACTCTTTTGGTTCAAAAAATATTTAGGGACTTAATCGTTCAAAATATGAAAGTTCATTGGTTTTTTTTCCAGACTTTTTTCATTATTTTACCACATTAACCAGTTGTATAGGTCATAAGAATGTATCTAACGGGTTTTAGAAAGTCCAATGAGTTATTTAACATGTTTTGAAATGTTCAAGAACTTATTTATTCCAAAAAAATGTTTAAGAACCTAATCATTTCAACCACTAAAGTCCATTGAGTTTTTTTAAACTTTTCCCTTAAAATTACATATAAAAATACATTTTTTTTTTTAAACAAAATCGGGCCGGTCCAGGGCCGAGCCTATAACCGGTACCAATCGGTCCCGGGCCGGGCCCATTTAGTTCTGGACTAATCCGTCAAAATGTACAACTGTAATTAAGATAAAGTTGGTTCTGGTTTGGGCCTTGTTTTAGCCCAAATACCATTGTTTTAGCCCAAATTCTCCCAAATCAAATCCCCTTTATCAGATCATTAAATTATTTGTATCGGAATAATTAACTTCATAATTTTACTTCTTGTTCCGAGCTCTGCAAATTAGGGTTTGCTGTTGTGATCTCTGATGAAGGTAATACCTTCTCCGTAAGTTAATTCCTTTTCGATTCATCTGAATTATGCATCATGATTTGTTACTTAATTTATTCTATCGTTAGTCGTTTGGCAGCGTTGATTGTAAATCTGAATGATTGTATATGTTTTCGATCTGGTAGTGTTTCTACAAGTGATTATTGGATGTTCAAGAATTAGAATTAGAGATTTAGTTTCAAAAGAAAATTCTGCATGATACAGTGTGTGGACGTGCCTATGCTGATTGGAGTTGTAAATGATTCTTTTGCTAGTCGTTGAGGGGGTGCTTAGAAGAGTTGCAAAACTGAATTATACTTGATAAACTAGATTGAACCTAATTGAAGAGAACCACTAGATCAATTCCCTTCAAAAGCGCAATTCTCACAAGGTCAAAGTCCATTCTTACCCTTCTCACCTTAACTCATATTCTCACATGATCCTTCGTCTAGGGAAAAATAGAAGAATTTAGAAGTAGGGCTATCGGTGTAATCTCTGATTGCAACCCCAAAACCTCTCATAATTTTTTAAAATCTAAATCAAGCCATTCCCTCCCTCCTGATCACAACCGGTGACCTCTCTATCCCCAACTCATCTACCTTGAATAAAAATCACCTGTCTCCTCCCTCACCACCAATCAAAATGAGACGGATCATTAAAGATGATACAAAGATGAAATAAATAAATGTATATTAAATAAAAACAATGACATGTCTTATTTTGATTGGTGGGACGGGGAGGGGAGATGGGATTCGGGGAGAGGAGATTTTTGTTCATCTCTAAATGCATGATGTCTTTACTCTACAATGCTCAGATAATAGCTTACCTCAATATTCGTCATCCTCACACAACCTTATACTTTTCACACACATTCTTTCTACGATATCCTACCAAAAGCCTGTACTTTCTCTTCATTCGCCAATGCTACTGTGTTTTATATAACCCTTCCTTCAAATGGTTGTGTTTCTTGCAAGGTATAAAGCAAACCAAGAGATACACCTCAATAATAAAAACAAAACAGAATTCATAAGATTCATAACAAACAACACATAATTCCATGTCATACTATGCAAGTCATAGAATTTCTAGCTACAAGTTGTAAATCCTCAAGAAGTCATCATTTTCATGATCATAATCACTATTTTTGTAACTTTTCTGAAGAGTAAAGAAATGAATTGAGATCTACCTCTCAAAAACATTAGCCTAAGGACAAAGGAGCTGCCTTTGGTAATGCTATGCTTGATGAATTTTTACAAGATTTGGGTTTATGGATTTTATTGTCGTGGTACCTCCTTGATGAATTTCATTGTTGGAGTGGGTATTTCAAAACCCCAACTTATAATACGGTTATTGTAATAATGCAATGTGAGGTAATAGTCTGCGTACAAACCATATATCCATGGACGTCAGTCCATCTACCCTTAAACACTTTGAAAATCAACTTATTTTGTATTTTGACCTTAAGATACCAAGAAGATATAATATACTCTCATTCTGAAGTAGTTATTTCAAATAGCAACTCAAGAAGCAATTGTTGGAAGATGATCTCTATATGAAAGCAAGGACAGATATGATTGCGGTTGAACTAATACAATCCAAATGAAGGTCATGTTGTGTGTAAGTGTGATTTTAACGATGGTAATATTGTCACAACTCATTTTGTCTTTGTGATAATGTGTGGATTTGATTAGTTATATAATGGTATTTTGGTGTTCTTGACAGTATTTAAACAGGTAGTTACCTATATATATAGGGTCCCCTTCTTTTGTTAACCAAACAATTAGTATTAAATTTGTTAACCGGGGTATTTTTGTCTTTTTATATATTGATACTGCATTTTCCTTAAATATTTCATTTACTTAATTATCACATTCTTTAATTAGCTCATTCTCTTGATTATTACATTCCTTAATTATATTATTCACTTAATTATTAGATTCCTTAATTATCACATTCACTTAATTGTTTCACCTATGAAATTTCTGATTTCACCTATGAACATGTTCAAACTTTTTTAATTATCTCATTCACTTTTTGGTTTCACCTATGAACTTTAAATAAAAATTATTGTTTTACTTTCTGGTTTCACCTATGGATTTCGATTATCTAGTCTCACCTATGAACTTTAGATAAATTCATTGTTTCACTTTTTGGTTCACCTATGAACTTTGATTATCTGGTTTCACCTATGAACTTTAGATAAAAACCATTGTTTCACTTTTTGGTTCACCTCCTGAACTATGATTATCTGGTTTCACCTATAACTTTATACAAAAATCATTGTTTTACTTTTGGATTTCACCTATGAACTTTTTGATTTTATCTTTAAACAAAAATCATTTAAATATTATTATTGATTATTTTCCAAAAATGCATATGAATATCTTCCAAAAATTAAAAATTATTAAATAATATTATTGATTATCTTTCAAAAATAAAATATGATTATCTATCAAAAATAAAAACAATTTGTTCTAGAAATGCCCTTCATTTGATATAATTCAATTTGTTTCCTTTTTTATTAGATTATAATCTCTCATTAATCATAACCGTTGATTAGAAAAATGAAAGGCTTAGATCGGTTAACAAAGTTAATACTATTTAATTGGTTAACAAACGATTATGCCTCTCTCTCCCTTTCTCTCTCTCTCTCTCTCTCTCTCTATATATATATATATATATACTAGAAGARTACTCGCGCAATGCAGCGAGATACATCGTGTTTTTAATATTTTATTTTATTCTTTATCTCAGTCGATGTTATAATATGACTTTATGTGATTTTGAGAAAGCGATGATGTTTTTATTTTTGAATAAAATATATGTTTG